TCTCTGTGTAAACCTGCCTGTCCTGGAACTTGATTTGTAGACCAGGCTGGCCTCAAACTCACTGCCTCTGCCTCCTGGGTGCTGGGATTACAGGTGTGCACCTCCAGACCTGGCTTGAAACTAAATTCTTTAACTCTTATTTTCTTTCAGGGTGAGCCCAGAACAGTGAATACTAGCAAAAGAAATGTAACAAAAGCCTTGAGAGTTTTTGAGAGAAAAAAAATTAATTTTAAAAGTTATCACTTTCCTTTTTTTTTTTAATTCAAATAACCTCATGCAGCATTGGAACATTAGCTCAGCGACACTAAACACATTCACAATGGTGTCCCTACAGCCACTCAAGTAAGCATGCACACATGCCCAGACAAGATGCTATTGGGACTTTTGACTTGCTCAACTTTGTCAAACGGGAAATTGTAGATATTTAACTCAATATTATTTTAGTTGATAGCATCTTATATTTATCTATACTTGGTGCAAACAAGTTATGTTCCCTGCTTGTTGATTTTATCATACGTCTTGCTGCCATTATAAATTATTTTTATATAACATCTTAAAAGTATTTTCTACTCATGCTGATAGACCCCAGTATACCACCTTCTAGTCATCTTTGACTAGACGTTTTTTAAATGTGTTACTTGAGTTTTCTGTGCAATTTTATCATCTGTTAAGATTTTTATCTTCCTGTTCCCTTCTGTTTAACCTTCTGGGTAGGACCTGCAGTATACTGAAAGGGGTATCCTCACTTTGTAAATTCACTGTGTGCCATTATTTGTCCTTTAGGTAAACTGGTTTACCAATATAAGCCATTTCCTATGAGTAAATGCTACATGAGTGAGGTCCTCAGTGCTGGTGCTGACATCTCTACAGCTTGTAAACTCTGCAGAGAAGCAAACACATGTCAACCGTGGTAACTTTATCATCCAGAGGATTTCCCACCTGGCGGGAGTGCTGGGGATATGACACAGCTCAGAGGTAGAGCACCTGCCAAGCATGTCCAAGGGTCTAGTTTAGATCCCTAGCACCAAAAGAAAACCTAATCACCTCATAGTCTAAAAGCGTGGTTCTCAGAGCTGGGTGGTGGTGGTGTACACCTTTAATGCCAGCACTCAGTGGTTTACAGATCAAGTTCCAGGAGAGCCAGGGCCACACAGAGAAATCCTGTCTTGAAAAACCAAAAAAGGAAAACCTGTTTCTCAGCCTTCCTAATGCTGTGACCCTTTACTGTAGAGTTCGTATTGTGGTGACCTGCAACCATACACTATTTCATTGCTACTTTGTAACTGTTATTTTGCTATTGTTATAAATTATAATGTAAATATATAGTATACAAGATATCCAATATGTGACCAGGGTGGTAGAGACCCATAGGTTGAGAACCACTGGAATGAGCCCCATAGAAGCCACTCTCACCCTTCCCAAATATGACTATATCTGTCCCACCTTTTGTCAGCACTTCCTTTGCCCTGGGCTCAGGCTGCTGTGAATGAAGAGACAACTGAGCCACTGGGAAGCATGTGAGCAGTTGACCTGGGAGTGCCAAGTCAAAACTTGGAAGGGGAAGCTCTGCTGACAAGGTCAGTGTCTCTGCTGACATGGTGCCAGAGCAGAGTCCTGCAGTACCTTGGGGAATCCCGTCTACAAACGCTGGCTGGCTCTGTGCTTCTCCTAAGTGCTTTCATTTCTCAGAAAGCCCTGTTCTTTGGGTCTGTGTTCACAAACATTTAAAGACGGGCTGTTTTATTGTGTTTTACTTCTCTAGTCTGGTGGGGGAGCTGAAGCAACAAACTTGGAAACTGAAACTAAGTTCTTCAATTCACTTTCTTCCAAAGTGAGCCCCAAACAGTGAATTCTATTAGATGTACCAAAAGCCTTGAGAATTTTTAAAAGAAAACTAAAAGTTACCACTCCCCCCCTCCTTTTTTTTTCTTTTATACAAATACCCCATGCAGGTTGGCAGTGACTGGAACATTCATGGTAGGTTTGCTACGGATGTACAAACTGTAGCTGTTCTTGAATGATTTCCCATGTGGGTCACGTACATGAGATTTATGCCCTGAGCAGGTTCCCATGCAAAACAAGAGAAGGAATCTTTGTTTTGCTTCTCTTCTGGCCAAGCAGAATACAGATTCCTAATTCACATTCCCAGGCATCCTGATTCTGGATCAGGTGTGGCCTGGATACTTATCTCAACCAGCCATCCCAGTCATGGGAAGGCCCACACCAGCAAGGAACAGACTTTTAAGTTTGCATCTTAGGCTGGGCATGATGGCACAGACCTTTAATCCCAGCACTGGGATGCAGAATCAGGTGGGATGGATCTCTGTGAGTTTGGGGCCAGCCTGGTCTACATAATAAGTTCCAGGACAGCCAAGGGCTACATAGTGAAACCCTGTCTTGAAAAACAAATAGTAACAACAACAACAACAAAAATAATTTGTGTCTTAGTCCTTATCAAATTTGTTTGGCATAGTCAACTCTCTCAGAGCATGCTGAGGATAACTGGGACAATGAGTGTTCAAAACCTGCAAAGCTGAACTCCAGGCCTTAACAAGGGATCAATCCCCCATGCCACTCCCCGACCTTCCTGACAGGCTGGTTGGCTTCCTCTGTAATAGTGTTTTTGCCGCATATCTACACTTGCATATGCTTCTCCTCCTGGCCATTTAAGTACATCTCACTTTTGGTTTTCTTTGAGGTGGGCTCTCTATATAGTTCTGGCTGTCCTAGAATTCTGTAAACCAAGCTGGCCTTGAACTCAGGGAGATCCACCTGCCTCCGCCTCCCAAATGCGAGAATTAAAGGTGTACATCATCATGAACATCCTGTAAGTACCCCTCACTCTTTCCGTTTTAAGGCAAGGTTTCTCTGTGTAGCCCTGGCTGTCCTGGAGCTCACTCTGTAGATCAGGCTAGCCTCAAACTCACTGAGATCTGTCTGCCTCTGCCTCCCAAGTTCTGGGATTAAAGGTGTGCTCTACCATGAACATCCTGTAAGTATGTCACACTCTTAAGGCTCATCTGAGGCTGACCTTTTTTCTTCAGGTGTCTTCAAAGCATTTCTGACAGCCTATATTCTCCTAGAAACTTCCGTATTAGATATCTTTGTTTTGGTCATTTGACATTAACTTCATAGTTAATGGTTGGGTTTGTTTTCTGTTTAATTTAGATTTCAATATAGAAGAAGGAATACATGTTTTTCCCCCTAGCCACAAAAATTTCCAGGACATATATGCCATACTTGCTATAATTTGTGTCAGAATTCAGTGCAAAGTGTCTGTTTTAGTCAAGAGAACAGCTTTAAAATACAAGTGTGTGTCTATCATGTGTCCGTTTATTGTGTAACACATACATGCAATGTATATATACTAATTTTCATTGTAGTGTGAAATTCTGTGTAAAATAAATCTAACTTAAGCATTTTCTAGATGTTTAGTTTCAGAAACTCCAAAATAACCTCAAAGATGACTTCAGCCAAGTGAAGAGACAGAAGGGAAAATCAGGAACCTCAACCATGAATTTGCTCTTTGGAGATTTGTTCTTTGTAACCAAGTGTTTGAGAATATGGGCTACAGAAATGGGGGTCCTGGGCTCTTAAAGGGGTTCAATGAGTAAAAGGTCATGAGTGACTAACAGATACTTAATGACATGTAATTCTTAAGAAAACATTTTCTTCTTAATAAACCACTATTAGTCCATTTGCTATCTACTTCCAATCTGTTTTCTCCTTGTATCTTGCAAACTTGTACAATAAAAAAATAAGACTGTCACCATGTATCTTCTTTATTGTTTAATGTAACTCTGCTCAGCACCCACCCATTCAGAGTCCGCTCTAAAATTCTGACATTCCAACCAGTGCAGTTTCTATTCTGCAGAAGCAAGTATGGACTCCCCATGGAACCCTCTCACAGGAGCCATCCCCTCATCACAAGTTTGCCACACCAAAGTCTCTTGGCTTCTGTCACCCCTGGCCTTACTCCCTCCTTTCTTCTGTCCTTCCAGATTCCCACAGCTGTCTGACCTGCTCACTTGAGAGCTTAGCTCTGTTCTAGTCCTTGGACTACACCAACCTAGGATTTAGCACTCTAGAAATTTCCATCTTTCCCAAACAGCAACTCACTTTCTGTTCGGGCAGTAGATAGAGTTCCTGTTCTGCAGGTCCAGTCTGCAGATACAGGCTTCATTCTTGGCATCCAATGCAGCTGTGAACCAGTACATTCCAGGTTTAATAGCCCTGTCCTAGCCTGTCCCTGCATCACTGAAACCTCTGTGAAAGTCCTTCAAAGTAGTTTTCTAGATTCTGAGTATCTGCTGCCTCAGTCATTCCACTGCAGAGTGACACCCGCATCCAGTGGGCATCACTTTCATCCTTGATCCCCTGGTTGCCACACACTTGCTAAGCAAACAACCAAGAAATCCATGACAGGATCAGAACTAGAACAAAGATTAGCTTTACATCCTCTTTTGTCACTCGTGACCATCACCTGCACTCGGTGTAAGACTTGATGTGAGGTTCCGCAACTTCTGCTCTGAATGCCTATTCTAACAGCACAGAAGCTCATTAAGTTTATAGACTTCAGGTTTGGTTAATTAAGGAAAAAAAATCTGGTGTGTGAGTCTTCTATTTCTTACAAGTTTTTGATGATAAAGTTTGTAAGAGAAATAAACACATTTCTCCAAAAAAAAAAAGCAAAAGTAAATAGTGAAAAGGCAACAAAAATCAAAACTGTGTTTGGGACTTGATTTTAAATATTAGCTGTTTTACATGAGGGGAAAGATGAGATTTACATCTTCAAACTTATTCCATAGTGCACTCCAGCTGCTTTCTCAAAAACCTCATGCTTTGGAAAGTGAAACCTAACTCACTTGTTAAAAATTAAAAGGAGCACAGGGAAATTCCAAACTCAGAACTCACAATAAACACAAATAACCTCCGTTTTGCAACAGGGGACTTCCCTTAAAGGATATTGAAGTCTTGCTGAGCCAACTCCAAAGCCATCCAATCAAGAGTCAGGGAGGGAAACTCTGCAGATAAATAGCGCACAGTAGACCAGCACTTCACCAGGCATTCATCAGGGCTGACATCTGTCCCGAGCCAGCCAACAAGAAGCCTGCACTGTCAGCACCATGAATGCCAGCGCTGTCCTCCTTTTCTGCCTCATCCTGCTGAGTCTGAGTGGGACTCAAGGTAAGGAACACCAGGGCTATTTAGTTACCCAAGTCAGAAAGACAACTGGGCTCAATTCTAAACACAGTGTACTTTTAAGTTTTGGTGTGTACCTACGAAGGCAGAGATTCCTCCTGCTTGCAGAATTTATCTCATGTTGGTTGAAATCAGAGAAAACTAGAATAAGAGAAAGGGAGGAAAGGGAGAGGTAGGGAAGAAAGAACTGAGAGGATGGGGAGAGATGGGGTAGGAAGGAGGGTAAGACAGATAGATGCCTCCCTACCTGAGCCTAATTAATAATGTGAAGTATACATAAGGGCATGATTTTATCATTAAAAGTCACATGCAGCTTTCTTCTCAGATTAAGTGACAATATGGGGACAGATTCTGCTAACCACTACCTCACCTGTATCAAGTGCCTAAAATGAAACAGTAGGCTAACCTTCCCTGCTCTGCTGCTGCTCTCTTCCTGCAGGAATCCCTTTATCAAGAACAGTCCGCTGCTCCTGCATCAAAATTGATGACCGACCTGTAAAACCGAGGGCCTTGGGAAAACTGGAAATTATTCCTGCAAGTCAATCCTGCCCACGGGTTGAGATCATGTGAGTAAAACCCCACCTGCTGCTAACTTCCCTTATGTAACCACATATTCAACGTGTGATGATAATCGGGAAAGACCAGCAAAGGCTCTGTGGTGACTAACGAATGGAACTTGGATTCTGATGTGAGCCTGTCTGGTCCTTCTGCTGTTGGCCTGATGTTAATCTACCTGTCTCACTGCTTATTTTGACAGTGTCACAATGAAAAGGACTGAAGAGAAGAGATGTCTGAATCCAGAGTCTGAGGCCATCAAGAATTTATTGAAAGCAGTTAGCCAAAGAAGGTGGGTTTGCTGGTGCTCTTTCGGGAAATGGCAGTCTTAGGAAGTAACATCTGCACTGGCTTTGCTGTGGGATCTTTGCCATATGTCACCATTATGCCCCTCTCCACCTCCATTTACACAGACACTAAGGTGCCACCTCAGGCCATCAATGTCTAGGAGTGACAGGTAGTTATTTCAGCCTTTGGGCAGTTACAACTGTCCAGGTAAAGCTGTCCAACTTTCCCCATTTCCTCACTAAAAACAACAGCTTCTGTGACCCATGGTGACTGTGTAGCAGAGGGAAGTGAACCAAGCCTTTTTCCCAAGCGCCTTTGGGTTCCCAGACTGAAGCCAGAGTCTATGCCACTCAATATGCTTTCTTCCTCCTACAGGTCTAAAAGAGCCTCTTAACCAGAGGGAAGCCGATCACAGCAGTGCTGTGGCTGACAGTAAGGCAGTGGAGAGCCCATCTCTCCATCACTTCTTTACTCAGCCTATGGCCAGCCCTAATTGTCCCTGGTTCCCCTGAAAGGTGATCAACCATGGTCACATCAGCTGCTATTCCTAGTGACATCCGGTCACTATTCCTGCAGGATGATGGACAGCTCCTCATCCTGAGACAACAGTAACTCCAGTGACAAGAGTTCCCAACTCTACTGAGAGTTGGCCCTGAGTTCTCACACGAACAGCTGCAATGGCTCTCCTGGCGCTGTACTATATAAGCTATGCTGAGGTGCTACGCTCTTAGCCTCGTGCCAAGCACTGCCTGCTCCTCACCCTCCCTACCTTAAGGTGTGTTAGCAGAGCTCTTCAGTTCTGAGTTACCTGGGTTCTTTTATTTCAAATACAGTCACAATAAGACTACCACCTGCCTGCTCCTAAGAACAAACTTTACTTCATAGCTTACAGCCATCTTCCCAAGGAAACTTCATAACTCAGAATATTAACAGGAAGCTAGAAATGTATGGAAATGTGTGTATAAGTATTATTTAATGAACAACTGTACAAAGTAGAGTTCCTAGATGTATGTTTTGTACCATTTTCATTGTGTATGAAAGAACTTGTATAATTAAGTACATCAATGAGGAATGAGAAACGTTTACATGGACAAGTGGTTTTCAATGTTACACAACAAAAAAGGTGTTGGATGGTTTTCAAAATAAAAATAATGTACTGTAGTACTGTACTGTACTGAAAATATTAGGAGAACAAAAGGTAATAAAGTATTAATAACTAATATGAGATGTCCTGTGGGTCATTTGACTGAGAATGATTTCAGAGGTTTAGAGACTCAATGGTTTGGACAGGAAGTTGGGGTGGGGGTGGGTAGAGGACAAATGAACCATAATTACTGCACTCCTCCTAAGTTTAGCCTCCTCAAGGCCCATCATGCAAGATTCCTATATGACTGGCAAGGCATGAGAATGACATGGGCATGGACCCTGTCCTGGTTAGGTTTTACTGCCAACTCCATGTAACTGAGCCATCTGGGAAGAAAGGGTCTCTCTTGAGGCAATGTGGAGATCAAACTGTCCTGTGGCCATGTCCGAGGGTGATTGTCTTGACTGACACTTGATGTGGGCGGGCTCAGCCCACTCAGGGCAGTGTCACCCTGAGCAGGTGGGCCTTGGTTGCATAAGAAAGCTGGCTGACCATGAGCCAGGGGAAGAAAACCAGAGTGCAAGCCAGTAAGCTGCCTCCTCCGTGGTTTCTGCTCCCACTTCCTCCCCTGGCTTCCCTTGGTGATAGAGCATGGCCTGGAAACGGGGGTTTAAGTAAACCCTTTCCTCCCTGAAGTTGGTGCTGAGCACAGCATCAGAGAGGGAACCAGAACAGACAGCTAGATCCAAGACATCTCCACCAGAATACGGCACAGGAAAACCTGCAATCAATTCATTTCTCTCCTGGCCCCAAGTATTCACCTCCATCGCATAGACTTGTTTAATTGCACCATCATCCACTCAGCTCCACATTCCCACTTCTTCCTACCCTTCTCTGCCCAATTAGTGACCAAGAAGATGCCTACAACACAATTAGGTGATAAATGATTAGTTTCTGGAATGCATGAGGAATTCTCATTGGGATCTTCAGGAAGACTCAGCAGGGAAAGGCACCTGACAGCAAGCCCGAAGAACCAAGTTCAATCCCCAGGACCCATAAGTACAGAACTGACTCCAGCAAGTTGTCCTCTGACTGCCACACCCATACCATAGGATATGTGCACTCCCTACCTCAACCCACCACACACACAGTAAAAAGGTTAAAGGAATTCTAATGGCTAAAAGGGTTAAAATCAGTCACATAGCAGAAAAATAATAAGAATTTCGCAAAAGAAAAAAAAAAGCACAAGCCCGTAACACCAGAAGGTGCTCAACCTCATTTTAATAAAGGAAATTATTTTTAATGAAGGAAATGCATACTCAGACACTTATAAGACTTCATTTCACACCATCAGACTGGCAAAAACAAAATTAAATCAGATAATTCTGACAACAAGAAAATACAACAGTGAGGAGAGTCCTTCCATAGCTAATGAAAACAAGTAGTCACGACTTCTGGGGAAAAGAGTGACATTCTGAAGCTGAACCCCTGCATGCCATAAATTCTAGCAATTCTGCTACCATACAATACAATAATCCATTGTTGCATAGGACATATACAAGGCTATTACAGCAGTGCTGGCTACTCATCAGAACTAGATGGTAAGAGCCTACTGATGAAGACACCATACAGTGGAATCAGACTTGAAGCTTTCACCCTGCTGACTAGCCCTCATAGTGCCCCAAAACACTGAGGCTGGAGGAGAACAGTGAACAACAGTCTGACCTATCTGTGGATCCTGCATACAACACTACCAAGGCCAGGCAAGATGTGCCCATTGATGCAATAGTTGCAAGTCTATTTGGGGTTATCAGAAGCTCTCTGATGGGATCTGAGTGCACTCTGCAGGAGTAAACCATTGTCTGCTATTGTAAACCCAGTCAGAAGCTCATACAGGTCCTAGTGGGCCTATCTATGCTCATTTTTGCTAAGTGGACATGATGTGTCCATCAAATTACCTTCTAGTAACTGCTTATATCTCTGAATTGTTGCTGCTGCCAACATAGTAACTCCAGTTCCCAGGGATGCAGTGCCCTCTCTGGCCTCCTCAGGTACTGCACACAAGCAGTACACAGCCATACAAGCAGGTAAGACACACACATAAAAAACTTTTATTAAAAAAATTGAAAGGAAAAACAAACTCTGGAATATTAGCTATTATGAGATACTGTCATTTACATCAAGCAAATTTATATAGCAAAACAAAGAATATGAGCTGGGTGGTGGTGGCACACACCTTTAATCCCAGCACTCAAGAGGCAACAAAATAAAGAGTACAACTAAAGTGGATAATTTCCCACTCAAAACATGTAAATGATTGCCATATACTTACAATGTCAATACCGTGGTCCCCACATATTCCCAATTTCACTTTCCACGGGTTCAAAGACCTAGCCACTACAAGGGTGTTGATAAGATATTCTGAGAGAGAGACATCACCTTCACATACCTCATTAGAGTATATTGTTATAGCTGTAACCTTTCATCATACCTAGCTTATAAATTAAACCTTATCATAGGTATGTATATATAGAAAAATAGAATACGTGTACAGGGCTTGGTATTATTCATAGTTTCAGGCATCTACTGAAGGTTTTGAAGTAGATCCACCATGGATCACAAAACACTACTGTACTCTGTCCCTACTTGATAACTAATTGTAGAAAGGCGGATCATGTAAGTATGAAACCAAGACAAGCTAAAATGTAACTATGGCATAAAATGGAAGGCTGGAACAATAGCACAGTTGGTATAATTCTTTCCACATGAGGACCTGAGTTCAAATCCCCAGAACCCATGTGCAACAGCCCACGATATGGCTGGCTGATATCCACCAGGTAAAACAGCCTACAGTTTGGCTGGCTGATATCCATGGGATGCCCACCTGTGTCTGAAGAGAAAGAGTGGAGGAGGAGAGGATGGGGGTGGGGTATGGGATGGGAAGAGGGAAGGGAAGGGAAGCTTTGGTTAGGATGTAACAAAAAGAAAATAAAGTTTTAAAATTAATTTTTTTATAAAAGCCCATAGTAGTTTGTGCTTCTAATCCTCAGACTGGTGAGGTGGAGACAGATAAATCTCAGCCAGCGTAGCCTACTGGCAAATTCTAGGACTGTAGGAGTCTTTGTTTAAAAAAGAAAAAAAAAAAAACAAGCTGGACAGCACCTGAGGAATGACAGTCAACGTTGACCTCTGGCTTCTACATACATGGACACCTGAACACACATGAATACTGCCCCCCCCCGTCTGTCTCATACACACACAGGCACATATATACAGTACAACTGGAAATAATCTCAAATACCAATTTTTGCATAGTAAATACAAATAGAAGACTGAGAAACAGATACATGTACATATCAATTAGGGTTATTACAAAATTAGCCTTCTTTTTCTGGCCAACAATCAAATGTTACAGAAAATACTCAGTATTCTTATTATTTGTCGTTTTTAATTTCAAAGAAGAGAAAACTAAACACATTTCTGTTAGGAGACATGGTTTCATTGTGTTGCCCATGCTGGCCCTGAACCCTGGGGTTTGAGCAATCATCCCATCTCAGTCTCCCCAGTAGCTAGGTGCCTTCCACCTCACACAGAACCAGAAAACAAAATCACTTAAGAGATAATAAGTGCATTATTGTATTACTGATACTAGGGACAACCCAGCATTGAGAACAGTCTAGATTTATAAAGAACTAGATATATAAAGATGATGTATTTAAAAGTACATCATCTACACCACAAGATCCAGCAATTCCACTCCTAGGCATATACCCAAAAGAAGCACATTCATACAACAAGGACATCTGTTCAACCATGTTCATAGCAGCATTATTTGTAATAGCCAGAAACTGGAAACATCCTAGATGCCCCTCAACCAAAGAATGGATAGAGAAAATGTGGTATGTTTACACAATGGAGTACTACTTGGCAGAAAAAAACAATGGAATCTTGAAATTTGCAGGAAAATGGATGAAACTTGAAGAAACTATTCTGAGTGAGGTAACCCAATCACAAAAAGACAAACATGATATGTACTCACTCATATGTGGACCTGCTTTATGATACATAGTAGTGACTGTGCTTTATCAGAGCTGTTTTTAATGATGCTGCTCAGAATGGTTTCCTTCCAGATGACGATTGAGAAGCTAATTTAAAAAAAAAAA